GTGTGTGTGTGTGTGTGTGTGTGTGTGTGTGTGTGTGTGTGTGTGTGAGAGAGAGAATGCAGTAAATATTACTTTATTTTTCTGTAGGTGGCAACATTGATATGTTTAAATTTACTCACAGGCTGGTAAGTGTAAACGTGCTCATGTAAAGTGACTGAAGAGCTAAGAATCTATTCAGTTCAATTAAATTCTTCTTAAAATTGCTCTCACAGGACAATCTTTAAAAAAACGAATGATACGCTTCTGATGTTTTCTTCCAATCTGGACCCAAATAGCCTCAGCCACTGAACCGATCACAGAGGGACATCAGGACGAGGTATTACTGCAGCTTTTACGGCATTATTTCATGGCTCTGACAACAAGTGATTTCCTTTTTGTTCCGGTGATTACCTTTTAAATAATTGGTTAATAACACTAACAATCTCCTGTGCTATCAAGCACTGCTGTGCTGTTTAGACCAGGAACAGCTAAAGCAACACAGTAGGAGTTATGTAAGGTAAGAGCTTTTGATTCTGTTCATTACCTTCTGTAATCTCTGTACGTTCTGGACCAGGAAGCGATAGGCATTATACCACGGCAGGAAGACATCCTTCAACACGTCTCGGACACCCTCCTCTTTGAAGCGCAGGGTCTCTGCTCTCACTACAGGGGAGTTGATGAGGTACAGTCTATAAGGAGAGACAGAGTTGGTCAGTGTGGCAGGATTGATAGTGAGTGAGTGAGAGCATATATAAAAATCAAACCCTAGCCCGGCAAAGTCTGCAGTTTTTTAGCCCGACACCGATCCCTTTAAGTTCTCGAACGCTAACACTGATGCGTGCAAACACACACAAACGCTGCAGCGCAGAGGCATGTATGGGCACAATGAAAGGACAACGCTCTCTCTGATACATGCAAAAAAACACACACATGAAAGGAGAGAAGTTAAATGAGTCTGAGTCCGACTCAAGCCCGCTGGGTCCCCAGGAGTTTGCAGACCTCTAACAGTGTGTACATAGGTAATTACTGAACTGTGTTTGAGCAGGGGCGTTTCTAGGATTCAAAGAAAGGGGGGCTTAGCCCCAAGAGGAGTGGCACGTTTGCGTCATTTGGGGCCGTGGATATCCATTGTTTCAGACAGTTCATAGATTGGTTCAATCAGAAAGAGTGTGATTTTGATCTGTAGTTTTGCTTGCATTCAGTATATGATAACACAAGAGACAGAATTTCAGGGTCATAGTGAAATTTGACAACACAAATATGAACTTTTCTCAAATAAAGAGAGAGAAATAATTTTCCTGCTTGTAAAGGAAAGACAGATAAACTAGCTTTCATATCCGCGTCACTCCCAAATCCTAATTCTTAAAGGGGCCGCACACAATGGATGGAGAATGGACCTGACAGTGTCAACTTTATATCGTTCAGTATGATGATAGGCTATTGGATTGTAATTTGAAGGGGGAGAAAACATACAAACCAGAACGCACGCACATATGTAGCATGTTAAAGTTATAAATAACTTGTCCATGTGAGAAACAATAGTTTAATTTAATGACCTCACCAAAATAAAAAATATATATTTTTTTTTAAAGCCAATAATGCAAAATTATTTGGGGGGGCTGAAGAACATTTTAGGGGGGCTTAAGCCGATGTCATTCGTTCAACATTTTACAGGTACACGTTGATGGTCAGCATTTGAACTTCAGTATGTTGCTCATACAGATGCGTGCAGACGGTTAAAACCATGTTCAAACCTTCTTGCCACAACAATCTGAGGTAAACGCTTCACTTTATGTTACATAAAAACACTTAAAAGACACCACTGAAAGAGAGCTGTGAGGCAGGCAGCATTCTCTTAATGCAAAGCTATTCAGCGGTCAAACATATCTGGATTTGATTCACTCCAATTAGTTTAACTGTCCACCTTCAATAGGTTCTACACACATTTTTGGGCCAAAACCAAATTTTACCAACAGCATCCCATTGCAAATGAATCTCTTATCTCCATTGAGGCCAAATAAAGACACTGCTGACATGACAATGGAAGAGAATCTGAATAATCCATATGGATATAACAGTCTGTGGCAGGCGTCAGCACACTGGGTTAGAGTGGCTGGAAAAGGTTTTGATGACGACTCTGGGATGATGCAACTTCATGCAATAGGCTGTGAGCGATTTTAATAGCAGCAACTACTGAAGATAGCCTTGAAATAAAATGCAGAATAGACAGAACCATTAGATGGTTAAATACCTAAAAATGAGCCAACATGAAGACAGTTGACACTGAAAATACCAACAAAAAAACCCCTCACAGTCTACACTTCACCCTCTCACTGCTTCAGTTTCTATCAGACGCATGTGCGCCTTTTTTCCCCCTTATCTCTGCAACTCACTCTTCATCAATATATACGGTTTGAGAGCATATGACGCAACTTCATGGTGCTTTATTCATTAGGACATATGGCCATGGCACTCTCACTGCTCAGGGCGAAGGAGCGAATGTATGAGGAGAAATGTGTGTGTGAACGTGTATGTACATCGTGCGTGTCTTTACTTTTAGCAGGGCGAAGTTTGAACCTAATTAAGCGTGGACAGCGATTCAAAGCCTTTAAAATCATGCCTGCTAATAACATAAGGTAGGTTAATGGTAACACACAGAACCCTGCCACCGGCACAAAGACATTCATGCTTCAGAAACACACACACTCATTCACATTCAAGCACAGAGCTGACCTGAGGGCATCCGCTCCATATTGCTGCACTATCAGTCCTGGATCTGGGTAGTTCTTCTTGCGCTTGCTCATCTTCTGTCCATCGCTGCAGGAGTGAGACAAGCAAAGGCATTAATGCACATACACACACATGCATGCATGCATGCATGCATGCATGCATGCACAAAAGTGCATGTCAGAAAACCAAGCACTTGGTATTCAAATTAGTCAAGTCCTTCCAGGTCAGCAGGCCACAGTACTGCATTTAGACCCCGGGGCTGAGGACATGACAAGTAGCCCCGTTGTAGAGCGGCTCTCGGGGCTAAATGTTGCAGCACACAAACCACAATGACCATGAGAAACGGCAGGAAGAAATGGGGATGAATTAGCAGGTGGAGAACGGAAAGGAAAAGGAACATAAAATTGGTAGTAAAGAAGAGGGGAACCAGTGGATCATTGGAGGCCAACACGAAAACAATAACGTCTGCAGAAAAAAAGCTCAGCATTAGGTTGGCAATATCCTGTATTGTTCTTACTGTCAACAAATCTTGTTAAAGACAAAAAGCAACCCTGTTATTGATTATTGCCTGTGTAACCAAAGCCTGATTGGGAAATTAGAAGGACTGGAAAAAAGTACAACAAAAAACGGAGAACAGCCTCAATCTTCAACAAAGATTAATTTTATTTGCAAATGAAAGAAAGATGAGAAGGAGGGGTTTGGTAAAAAGTCGATGGACTCACCTAGCGAGTATCAATCCGTTAACGATGATGTTCTTGAAGGGCGGTTTGCCAAACAGCGCTGTGGAGAGCACCAGTAAGGTGTAGAACCTACAGCAGGATGCAAAAGATAGCACACGAGGTCAGCGTGACAAGCAGGACTGAAACATTACAAGTCATTCTTTCTCCGAGGTAGGATTGAGGAAAAAACTCATCTACTAACTTAATAAACTAACTAATTTAATACTTTTATTCTGTTTAATTCAAAACCAAAAATGAGTGTTTCAGAAACACACCATTCATGCTTTGCATTCGTCATTTCCCTAAATGAACTCAACAGGGAAGGACTCAATGTTACCATTCCTCATCCGTCGACCTCTTTCCATCTATCCATTCATCCACAGCTTACCATCCCCTCGTCTGGTCAATGCCTTCGGCGATGAAGTCTGCTGGGAAAGTGTCCTCGAACTCCTTCCTGTTCTCAAAGGGGTAGTGGGCCTGGGCGTACGGCATGCTGCCGCTCTCAAACCAGCAGTCGAACACCTCCGTGATCCTCCGCAGCACGCCCTTACCACACCGCGACGGGATCGTCAGACCGTCGATGCTGGGCAGAGAAAGTGGTGACAGGAGGAGGGAGAAAAAGAGAAAGGAGGAACAACCGTTAAGACAAATGGCAGCAATAACAAATTGAACGGTCTGGTTTTATTTCGGGGTTTTCTTTTTGCTGCGGGGCACTTTTTAAACATCTGTACACTATATGGATCCAAGCGTCTATAAGCTTTTTTGCCTGCAGTCTACAACAAGGATTTTTATAATCTTTTACCTCTGGGAACGAGGTTTAAGAAAAAAACAATGTTGCTAACGATGTGCTGACATCCACTCGAATGAGCTTGGTTATTGCCTTGGGTCACAAGCTTCAGACACAAGGATATGGAATCATTTACTCCACATGCCGACTCACTCAGACTCAGGCCGTGAAAAACAATAATGGTTTCTTCAGTAAAGTCACGTAAACGGAGGAAAACAATTGAACCTGGGTGTAGTAGCTACAAAGTGTGAGGTGCCCAATAACTCCAGATAAATCCATGTGTATGGAAAGTTCCCTCAGTTGTATGAATACAACAACAGAATATTAACCACACATATACACATGAAGTTGATTAAACACACATTTACGTTCTTTTACCATTCAGCAACAGCCTACTGCACATTTCTAGAATGATTAGCACTAAACTGCAGATTACACCTTTAGTGATCACTAAAGCCCACTCCGCTGCAGCACTCTGCTGCTTCTAAGAGCTCTGCTCCTGGGCCTATTGAGGAAAGGGAGAGTGTTAAGCAGGAACATTACCAAAAAGAAATGCACTGCCGAGTACATTGTGAGTAGTTTATTATGTAATTTTTGTGGTGCGTTTACTAAGATTTCGCGAAAATGTTCGCAATGCGGGCAGAGCCATTATCTGTGGGATTTGGCCACTTCACACCGTATTATATGATGTAACAGTCCGCCCATTTAGATGTTAAGAGATCCATACATCTTTTGTATTTATTAAGGTTCAAACAACCGCACACTTTTCAAACCTGGTGTTAAACATCTGATGAACTGTTAAAGAACACGTTTTTGAATTCGATGAGTTTCTTTTCAATCTTAAAGGATTGCTAAAATAACTTCCATCACCTTTCCGTGTCTTCCAAACCTGCACAGGCACTTTATAAACACACAATCCAAACACGGTAGCAGGACGAAGGATCCTTTTTCCTCCCCAATCAATTACAGATAGCCAACCCCATGGAGGTGATTAAAGGCAATGAGCAGATGAAGAGGAAAGTGATCTGTGTTCCACAGCACACGTTTGGCTCAGACAGACGTTAGAGAGGCAGAGGGCAGATTTAAACATGGACAAATTCATGTACCAACACACACAGACACCATATTATAAACTTATCATCTCATGTCCACCCATCTACACACATACAGCCGGTGAATCTGAGGGTATCGCACTACCACAGCAGACACACACCACTGAGTACATGCTCAGGTGGTTAGCTAACAATCTCGGTGTTGGATCAGTGACTCACCTCTCCCGATGCAGATCGGTTGCTTTGACTCCGGTCAGCTCCTCCAATTCAGCTATGGACCCGACACACACCACCTGACGCACAAGCACACACACAAAACAGAAATTTAAATAAGCAATTTGTGGTTTAAATCATCAAACGAAAAATGTATTGGAAAGAGATCACATTAGGCTTTTCCATTCCATTTCTGACATTTTATCAAGGATAATTCAATTAATAAAAAATTGATTAACATTGCAGCCCTTATCAAGGTCAATGTTATATATTTGTGTAGAATTAAATTAGTAATTGTCTGATTTCTAACAAAAACTCAAATACCAATATCTGTGTTGGCCTCCCGAATACATTATTGTTGGAGCTACACTTTACAAAAAGCAAGTAAAAAGGTTAGTTTGTGCGATGAAGTACTACCGACCTTTACAATGTTGTGGACTAATGCAATTTAGTGTTTGCCAGTGTGCAGCAGGCGACTCAAACCTCTGTTCTTTCTCACGGTTCATTTTACTGAAAGGAATTTTTTGACATTTTGGGATACGTGCTCATCCACTTTTAAGATGTTTTTAAACATAATTAATTTGTAACAGACCATGTACAATATCAAACATAAATGTTCCCATTTAGTTTATTGAATTAAGGTAATGATGAGAACATTGATACCATTTAAAACAAATGAGATACGGTGTGTGCTATGAGTGAGTGTTTAAAACCTGCAAAGGACTGTAAACCTCATAATTCTAATGTATTTATCACAATACAAATTAAAAGGAGGCCTACTTGAACACACTTCCTGAGTAACTTCACCTTAGAAAGTGTGGTAAAGTGTGTTATCTGGTCTCCTCAGAGAGTTAACCTGTAGGCTCTGCTCTAGTTTCACCACAGCGCCAGGTAACATGGCCCAGATACTAAACCGCCGTCACACATAGAACAGAAGAGTAAAAGAAACGCATCCAGAAAAGACAGAGAGAGAGAGAACAAAAACAAAACAATACTGAGGTAGAAATTATACTGCCACACACACACAGACAGACTCACTTACAGCTTTAGTGTTGGGTGTGTGTGTGTGTGTGTGTGTGTGTGTGTGTGTGTGCTTAGCCGCTGAGGGGCGTGTGAAAGAGGCACCAAGGAGCGCAAGTGTTCTGGAAACAGTCACAATGCTATTTCCAGCAAGCAGGTCGCTGGCTGTCCCTCTTTCAGCCAAGGGAGCAAGACTTCATTTCTCAAACGCTCAAACAACCCAATTCTGACGTCTCTTTTCAGTTCAGTCTACTTCACACAGTTGGCTGGGTTTGGCAATGAGCATCCATAACGAACATTTATACAGTTTGGCTGACTCCGCCGCTGTCTGCTTCTTTTTCTTCCATCCATTTATTTTCCTTCCCCCTCTTTTCAACTCCCATCCTCCCCTCGCCCCCCTTCTCGTGTATTTCACTTCCTCATTTTCGTCACACGATAATTTATTCCGTCCCCCTCTTCCTCCTCCCCCTTATTTTCTGTGTCATCCTCCCCTCGATCGCCGTTCGTCTTGCGGACCTTTGAAGTCGCCTTAACCGGCATAAAGAGATACCAGACACATTGGTTCTTGTTTGTTTGCTGTTTACGTTAATGAATCATTCATGTGCTGAGTTTACAGAGGCACTCGGTAATGGTGCCTGAGGGGAGCTGACTCAGACTGCAGTACGGAGTCAGGCTACACTCTCTGGTTTGACACCATGGTCCCCTCACTCTGCCATGCCAGAAAGCCTCTCCTACACAAGCCTCCACACACACACACACACACACACACACAAAAAAAAGGTCCAGATATGCTAAATTATGAGAGCGTCAAAAGGAGGTCAGTAAGAAACATTTCCACTCTGCAAATGTATGAGAAGACTTGGATTTCTGTGCCCTCGCAGCAGACCAGTAGTCCTTTGGAGAGACATAAGACATTCGTTCCCCAAACTCATTTCTAGAGGAAATAAAAGTGAGACTTATGGAGAGTTAAACTTTTCAATTATGCCCTCTCATGCTGAGCCCAGATTGATTTACGAGTGCTGCCAACCCTGAGAAAAGAGTAACTGTCGTGGTATTTGGTCATGACACAAGACAAATTGTGTGATATCTGCAATGCACAAAGACACGTTAGAAGCATCAAGTGCTCCATTAAAACAAGTGTGAATTTGTGTGTTTTCCTGACCTCCTCAAGGTCTTCGCTGACCCAGAGCGGGATCGGGGTCCCCCAGTAACGGTTCCTGGAAATCGCCCAGTCTCGTGTGTCTCTCAGCCAGTTCCCGAAACGCTTCTCCCCGACAAAATCTGGAACCCTACCGAAACAGAGAGATTATGAAGATGTTTTCAACACCACATGGAATTCAATTTAATAGCCATTTCACTGTCATACTGTCCAGTAAGAACAATATGGCCTAAAATGATTTATTACTATATCCAATTTGTACTACTTACCAGCAGAATATAACAATAACTTCTCATGATATAGTTAAATTAACACAACCTGGACTCTGATAAGCAGTAAATATATTGATAAATAGACAAAGGGAGCTTCCTAGCTGCTGTCGCTGGCAGTAGTGATGGTGTTTGCTGGAACATGAAAAGACTAAAAAGCCTCACAATCCACTGTCAAAACATCACCCACCTGTAAACGATAAGTAGGTGATGTTTCCCAACAGCCTGCAATCAGATCAATCAGATACAAAACCGTTTGGGAACTAACGCCACTGCCCATGGTATGCAAGAGAAAATAAGACGTTTGTAAATCAAATTTAAGATTTTTCTTAAAATGCAATTTTTAAGACCTACAGATGAAATACATTTTCTCACAACAAGAGCAAAGCATTATCATAATACCCATTATTCCTTATTCGTATTAAGCTGACTTTCTCTTCTTCCTCCTTTTAGCCCTAAAAATAAACTGTGTTGCTGTATTTATGAAGCCCAACCGCAAAGGTTAACGTTCCCTCCGAGGCATCTTCCTCCTCCGTACCCCTTTTCCTATATTGCCTCGACCGATTTCTAGCTTTAATCCACTATCTCACAATCTCTTCCTCTTCCTCTCATTTCTTTCTGTCCCCCTCTCTCGCTTTGCCAGGCAGTGTTGCTCAGGAGAACAGAGCAGGGGGGGGGGGTATAAATTGTCGTCAGGATCCACGGGCTAAGCAACGAGTTCATCAATTCCCATTTGTGGGAGGCATTTCTATTTAGGCCCCTAATATATCAATTTAATGATTTTTTTTTTTTTGGTTCTTCCTGCTGCCCCCCAGCCCCCCCCCCATCCCCCACCCCCCGTGAACACTCATCCACCAC